GCTTGTGAGGCAGGCAACGGAACCACTGAGCTAAATCCCTGGCCCGATCTATAGCTTTTTAACTACAAATTTTATAATGGGAATGTGACATAATGTTAAGCAGCTGGACTGTTCTGGAATGTTATAAATAGATGTCATAAATAATGCTGATTTAAGAAAAATTTTTATTTTTTTATGATTTGATACACATTATAGGGCTGGGAATTTAGCTGTGGTGCTGCCACCTGCCTCGCAAGCACAAGGCCATGAGTTAAGAAAAATTTTTATTTTTCTATGATTTGATACACATTATAGGGCTGGGAATTTAGCTGTGGTGCTGCCACCTGCCTCGCAAGCACAAGGCCATGAGTTCAATTCCCAGTACCCAAAAAAAAGAAATAAAGTAGAAGATACACATTATAAACTACATGCCTAACATTATTTTTAAACCCACAGTAGGTCCTTAATAAACAGTTGTTCATTTAATAAACTAGAATTATTAAAAATAAAATTTACTGAGCAAAATGTCATATTGCTCAAGTTAAAAGAAAAATTTTTCTATTAATAAATATAATCAAAGCCTATCTATTAAGTATAAATAAAATTTCCTACTAAACAAAGAATGAGAGAATTATCATACTATCCTAAATGCTTCCACTCCCTGAACTACTAGCATTGGAAATATGGTTAGCAGCAATTTAGTTGAGCTTTCTAGGACAAATGACCAGAAATTTCAGAAATAGTTTGTCATTTTAAAATGCTTAACTTAGATAACAAGAACAGTAATTAGCTAACCAAATTACTAAATAAGCTATTATTCTAATAAATCTTTTAAGGAACATCAAATTTGAGTATCTGGTCATATGAATTACAGTTCACAAAAACAAACATCATTTTAAAATGACTTTTATGGTTAAGAAAGAGAGAAGAAATGAGGTGCAGCATTAGTCTTCCTCAGCTAGAATATCTGAGAGCTAATAAGGGCTTTCGTATCAATGACAGCTCCTTTCAAAGATGCATCAGAAGGCTCGGGATGGAGCTCAGTGGTGGCCCACCTGCCTGGCAGGCGCAAGGTCCTGATTTCAATCTCTGGTTTGGGGGATGGCGGGTGAGGGATGCATCAGATTGAAAAATTTTTAAAATAGATATATCTTCAGCAGTGCTCTTTTTCAGATACAAAATAAATGTTCTAACATAAGAAAAATATGATCTCCAAATAATATAAATGCATTTCCCACATATTATTTAAAATTCTTTGGCCATCTGTAAGAGATCTACACGATTAAAAAACAACTTCAAACTTTGGTTAAACTGTTAACACTTTTTAAACATAAAATCAAGAGAACCATATACCTATATTTCCAAGCAGTCCATTAATAACTGTGTTATTATCAGCCTTTAATGTATTGTTGTCCTGGTTGATGAATTCAAGACTGTCTTGCAGTCTATGGAAAAAAGAAAAAACAAACTTTTCAAATGCATTATATGCTTTTAATAGCAACTCTGTACATCTCAATGAAATTTTACGTGTAAAACTTAAGTTTTGTTTCCTGATTAGTACTATCAATATAAACTATAAATGATAACTAATCTTTCAAACAGGGGCTGGTAAACTAAGCTTGAGGGCCAAATTCAGTTTGTCCTCTCTTTCGGTAACTATAATGTTACAGGAACATAGCCACATCCATTCATTTATGTATTGTTTATGGTTGCTTTAATGCTATAACGGTAGGGTTGAGAAATACCACCACAAGTGGTTCATAAAGTCAAAAACATTTACTCTATGGCCCTTTACAGAAGAAAGCTGCTGACTCTGATTTACATTTGAAAATATTTTCTAAACATCTGAGGAGGGTGGGAAAGAGAAGAGGAGGAAGTACAGGAGGAAGTGGGCAGCAGCAGCAATTAAATAACCAAAACTGTCTAGTCCACATTAGAAATGGCCTATACTCTTAGTAAATCTTTCAGAATAACAAAAACAAAATTACTTTATGCTTTTAGTTCAAAGTATCCTTTCTATAAATTCTAGGAATTATCAATTACAACTCAGAAAAGATGAAGTAACTGAGATGATTTAAAGCTAAAATCAGCAGGGCACACTTGCATGCCTGTAACTCCAACACCCAGGGAGGCTGAGGCAGGAGGACTGCAAGTTCAAACCCTGCCTGGACAATTTACTGAGACCTTGCCAGAGAAGAGAAGAGGAGAGAAGAGAAGAGAGGGGAGGGGAGGGGAGGGGAGGGGAGGAGACCAGACGAGAGGAGACGAGAGGAGACAAGACAAGACAAGACAAGACAAGACAAGACAAAAGGGCTGAGGATGTGGTTAAGTGGTACAGTGTTCTGGCTCAATCTCCCAGTACTAAGAGAGAAAAAGAAAGCTAATATCAGTGGTATGTAATTTCTACTATAGTATTAAACTTAAAAATCAACATTTTTGGCATCAAGATTTTTTTAAGTATTCACAATATTTTGAAGAACATCTCCCTTTTCCTTTCTTCCTGAAAGAAAAGTAAAGAAGAGCTACAGGCATTAGAAACTTAGCTAATAAAACTACTCAAACCAGAAGTCTTTTAAGGTCACTTACAACAAATGAAAGCTCAAGAGAATCTAGCGCAGGTTTCTTGCTGCTTCCTGCTTCTTTTGACTTTTATTACCCCTGGGACCCCTAGCCAGTGAGCCCCATTCTGGTTTGGCACCTACAAAACCTGTCTCTGGCATTTACTACCACCTGCTTCTATACTCCATTTAGTGATTTCTAGCGCAAGTCCCATTATCCTGACTCCATGCCTAACTTTGTTTCAGCTTTGCTATTCTAATCTTGGTATTAACAGCTCACGATACTGCTGTGGCTGTTGTTACGTATGAAAAGGTAGGCTATATACAACAGTCATATAAATGACCTCGGGCACTACTGTCTGCTAAAGAGCATAGGCACAAAACTGCAAAACTGAAAATCAGCGTGTTTACCAGAGGGAAATACACTCAACGTTTTCCTTCTAGATACTCTTTCTAGCAAATTACAGAAACAGAAACCACATCTCTAGTTTTTCAACTCAAGTGAGGATACAATCTAGCCTCCATGAATGTTCAAACTTGGAGAAAACAGAATATATATGTGCTGTAATTCAAAAAGCATTTTTAAAAATTTTTCATTCCCTGCACCTCTTAAATAATCAATTTCCTTCCAGAGCCATAAGCACTTACGTATTAAGGCTTCCACAGATACTGCTGCCAGTCCGTGCAGTAAAGACTTTGCTGAGCATGAGCTGTGGAGGGGAACTATGAAAACAATACATGGTCAGAGACACAGCAAAACTAAAACTCAATGAATGACTTTTTACTGATTTATTGTAAACGAAAACTTGTAAGTCACATTGATTTCATAACACAGTCCCAAAGCCATGAAGTCTCACTGGGGCCATCAAACGTTATAAACTGAGTGACAAGCTCAATTTGAGTGATGAAATCTCTCATCTTCAAAAACACTAAATATCTAAAATTGGATTCACTTTTTAAAATAATCAGAAAACCCCTCACCGGATCTGATGAATTTTTAAGGTGGATCCTTTGTAGCTCATTGCTACTGAGCCAAACATCATCTCTCCAAGCATATTGGCATCAGAAGAGCACCGAGAACCCTGAACAATAACCAAAATATTAGTAAAATTGCAGAATTTAAAACTATGACTATTCGAATAGTGATTTTTATCTTCTACATACCTTTGTTATAGTTGTTCTATGTTGAGGGTTTTAATTCTACACTGTATATATTGTTCTCCAACTTGACTTTCTTCATTTTACACCTTATACATCCAACCATATCATTAAACAGAGATTTAACTCATTTCTTTTAAAAGCTGCACAGCATTTTACTATATGTGAATACCACAATCTATCAGGCTAGTTCCCTTAAATGATGGCCACTTAGGTCATTCCCAGGTTTTTGCTACTATAAATAATTCTCAAATCAACATTTGTAACCATGTCTTATGCATACGAACCATTTCTCCAGCTGGGCTGGTGGCATATGCCTATAATCCCACCACTTAGGAGGCCAAGGCAAGAGGATCGCTGTGACTTTGAGGCCAGCCTGGGCTACATAGTGACTTCGAGGCCAGCCTGAACTACACTGTGAGATCTTGTCTCAAAAAAGTAAAAAAAAACCAAAAATTTCTCCAGGAGAGATAAAAGTGTAATTTATTTTATTTTTTTATTTTTATTTTTATTTTTATTTTTGTACCAGGCATCAAACTTGGGTCCTTGCGCTTGCGCAGCAGGCGGCGAAACCACTGAGCTAAATCCCTGGCCCAAAAGTGTAATTTATTGAACAGGCAGAATAATTTTTACTTTCTGTTGTGCACAAAAGCATCCACAAATGAGGCAATTTATATCTGTTTTTTCATCTGTGATCTACAGATTCAATACTATCCCTACCAAAATCAGTGATATATTTTTTTACAAAAATGGAAAAACATTCTAAAATTCATGTGGATCTACAAAAGACCATGAATAGCCAAACAATTTTGACATAAAACAAAACTAGAAGCATCACATTTTCAGATTTCAAAATGTATTACAAAGGGATGGTTATCTGAACACTACAGTACTAGCATAAAGACAGACATACAGAACAGTGAAAAATAGTGATCCAGAAATAAATCCATACATATGCAATTTATCTTCAATGAAGGTGTTAAGACTATACAACAGGGAAAAGATAATCTTTTCAACAAATGCTGCTGGGATAAATGCATATTCACATGTAAAAAAATAAAACTGGACCCTTCCATCATAAACAAAAATCAGCTCACACTGAATTAAATAGTTAAACGTAAGATCATAGAAGGAAAGGTTTGTGACATTAAATCTTGGCAATGATTTCATGGATATGATACCATAAGCAAAGGCAAGAAAAACAAAAATAAACAAGCGGAACGGACACTGAACTAAAAAGTTTTGCACAGCAAAAGGAAACAAGAGCGTGAGAATGAGAGAAAATATTTATAAATATAGTTAAGTCAATCTCCAAAATAAACAAGGAATTCATACAACATTATAGTTAAAAATGAACAAGCCAGTTTAAGAAAAGGATAAAGACTTGAACAGACATTTCTCCAAACAAGACATATCATTAACCATTAGTTAAATATTTAAAATGCTCAACATTACTAATTATCAGAGAAATCCAAGTCAACACTACAATGAAGTATTAACTCACACAAGTCAGGTTGGGTATTATAAAATATAACAAGTGTTGGCAAGGGTGTAAAGAAACTGGAACTCTTGCATCCTTCTGGTGGGAATGCAAGATGGTGTAGCTGCTCTCGAAAACAGTATAGCAATGGCTCAAAAAATTAAACATAGAACTACCATGTGATCCAGCAATCCCATTTCTGGGTATTTATCCAAAAGAATTTAAATCAGGATCTCAAAAAGCTATTACTACTCTCATGTTCACTGCAGCACTATTCACATGACCCAAGACGTGTCAGTAAGTAACATGTTCATCAATAGATGACTGGACAAAGAAAATGTGGTATATACCTACAAAAGAATATTCCCCCCGAAAAAGAAAACAAAATTCTTCAATATGCAACAACACAGACGAATTTTAAGGAAAGCATGTTACATGAAATAAGCCAGTCACAGTCACATTCACAGAATCAAAGAGTGGAATGGTGGTTACCAGGGGTTGAGGAGAGGGGGAAATCAATAATTAAATGATTATTTAAATCATTAAGTTTTAGTCAAATTTGAATAAGCTCTAGAGATGCACCATAAAAACCTGTAATTACAGTCATCAGTAACATACTTAGAAATTTTTTCATATAATTAACATTTCCTATTTTTTATATATTACTTTCTCAGAAGGTACTCATAAACTTGTTTCAATAAAGGCATAAAGTTAAATTTTAAGGAAAAAAATCTTTTGCTACATTCAGGTTTCTATTAGGATGCAACTTATCTAAAGATTTGGTTCAGATTAAATTTCTACTTTAAGGAATATAGATTTAGGCACTGAGAAAAAAAATTTTTTTTTTTTTTTTTTTGGTAATACTGATAACTGAACCAAAGGCCTCATGCACACTAAGCAAATGCCTTACCACTGAGATACATCCCCAATCCAGTTTCTGTTTTATTTTGAGACAAGGTCTTGTTAAATTATTGAGGCTGACCTTAAACTTACAATCCTCCTTTCTCAGTCTCCTGAGTATTACAAGCATATACCACCATACTTGGCTTGAGAACACTTTAGAAATAGAGTAGAATAATTTTTTTAATGATCAAGTAGTTTTCTTTTGAAGATCAAGGCCAATCTTGTTTCAATTTAAACTACTTCTGGCTAATGGTAGACAGGAGTCCTCCTTATAAGCTCATTTTTGCTATGATGGGTCTAATTCCACAGCTATTTTGACTAAAATTGCTTTTTTAAATATTTAATCAGTTATATGAGCTTAAATAAAGGCACTTTTAGATTTTACTACTGTATAAGAAAATAACTCTTAGTAAAAATAAACTATTTAAATTTCATTTGACCATATATTTTGCTATTAAAGCTCTCTGCTTGCTCTATCATATACCTTATCATTGGCATATTACATATGAATGTGACACAATATACACTAAAAGTTATATAGTTTAAACAGTGTTATCATTGCTGTCTTCTTTAAAGTCTTATTTAAAAGGGCTATTCTTTTCAATTACTCATTGATAGAAGCTAATAATCCATTATAACCAAGAATTCAAAGATCACATTCTAGTTACCTGAAAGCACTTTTTTTTTTTTTAAAGCACAACAAGCTATACTACAATAATTGAATGCTTTCTGGCTTTACAGAAAAAAGCAAACGTCTTGCAATTTTGATACAAAATGAGATTATAATCACTCAGTACTTTAGTATCTCCAATCTTGTTCTGCTTGCCAATATTTATTTTTAACTACACAATATATGGAAGAATGGCAAGTTTGCATAATTGAACACATTAGAAAACTTCCCAAATTATGCAAAATTGCATAAGTTATGCAAGTAATACATAGCTACCACTGTTAGAAATTTGCTATGGTATTAACCTAAAATGAAAAAAAAACAAGAATGTAGAAGGAACTCTGTGGTAACTCCTAACATCTAGACTTTAGTAATCTCATTGTCCTTTCACATACACTTATTAATAAATTATAAGGATAAATTGGCAGAAAACACAATCATCTGATTACAAAGAATTTAAAAGTCCATAATTCTATTTTGGTACTACTAAACGTAAGATAACTTATGACTCATGCAAGCTTGGATGACACAAATAAGTTTGCATCAGATGATACTGTAACTGCTTGGCACTGATCGTATGTAAAATGTAATAAGTTTATAAAGAAGTTCCTGTGTAGTCTTGTATTTTGTTTTTTGGTACCGGGGATCGAACTCGGGTCCTTGCACTTGTGCAGCAGGCAGTGAAACCACTGAGCTAAATCCCTGGCCCTGTGGCTTTGTATTTTAAAAGAGTCATGATACTTTTAGAAAATGAAAGTGCATTTTTTTTTACTGTGTATACTTCCATTTATACCTTAATTCCACACTACATATGAATTGCTTAGTATCCTTTATCTTCATACTTCAATTATGAAAAGGTATATGAAAGAAATTATTCTGGTAGCCCAATAAATATGAATTGAGGAAAATGAGAAAATATCCCTATTGCCATTATCTATACCTGTCTGTATTTTTCCTATCCTGAGATTTTTTTCAATTCATAAATTTACTTCTTTAAATATCTGTCTCTATAGCCACTAATGTAAGTAACAGGGAGGTTAGGACTAGTCACTGTCATACTTTGTTTCCTAGGGTTGGTGCTCAAAAATATTTGTAAATGAAAGAGTAAATAAATGAAATCAGTGATCTTACCTGGTACTTAGGACACTGGTCTTTTACATCAGAAGATAAAGTGATAGAACTATCCAGAGATGAAGAACTATCTCCTCCAGGTTTCAGCTGGCAGCATTTCCCAAAGACTTTAACTTGAGCATCACTACAGAGTTTCTGAAATACATGATATTCTCATTCATATTCTAACAGATTTTCCACCATATACAAATTTAATTACAATACAAAAGCATTTAGAAAAACCAAGGATGAAATGCCTCAAAACAACATAACCTTTATATGATACGTATTTGCATTTTACAGTATTTTCTCTAGTACTACTTTCTATACTTTGACTTATAACATTTGTGGAAATACGGAAATGCATACTGGACTTTTCTAAGACTGTCAAATCACTGGAATTTTCCTATATGTCCTGCAAGTGTTCATCAACAATGACTTAATAACATATTGTTAGTATTTCTCAAATTTTTTGGTCTCAAAACCACACTACACTCTCGCAGGTTACTGAAAATCCCAAAAGCTTTCTGTTTACATGAACTGTAATAATATTTCTCTTATTATAAATACAACTAAGAAAGTTTTAAAATACTGATTCAGTTTAACATAATAAACCCATTAAAATAAGAAGCCCGTTTACTAATAACTTAATTTAATTTATAAATTATAAATTTATAAAGAAATCATAAGTTATTTCTGATTAATAATTTAATAAACCAATTTATTAAATAATAAACCCGTTACAAGTCAACATAAGTGACATTGTTACCAAAAACAAATTATACATATTCTGGGAACAAATTTAGGAATGAAAAGAAATGCAAATGAGTAATAGTTTACTATATGTACGTACGTTTTATCTTCTCAAATAATGTACTCGTGTAATGAACAGAAAAATTTATACTGAGAGATGAATTTAAAACCAGAAGACTGTCCATTTTCTACGGGGGAAGGATGTATTTGTTTTTCTCTCTTCCTGAACAAGTTCTAGAGCTTTCACTGCTTACAACTACCAAGGTACACTCCACCAAGGTCTGTGATACTACTAAAAAAGTGTTCCACTGCTTTATCAATTACTGGTATTTTCATTTTTCCTTCTAGAAGATCTCAGGTAGGTTTTTAGAAAAAGCAATTTGAAGGTGGGCATGGTAGCATACGTCTGTAATCCCAGCATTCTGGCTGCGGCAGGACTACTCCAAGTTCAAGGCCAGCCTGAAACAAGACCTTGTCTCAAAAATGCCAAAGAAAGAAAGGGGTGTGGGGGGGGAGTAAGGAAAGGTAACTAAGGAGGAAGGGCAGTTAGTTTTACTGAAATTACAGAATCTTGAAGGCTTGTTGTTTTATAGTTGCCACTATCACCAAAAGCATGTTCAAAGAGGGTATTAACCAAATGTGGTACTACATAATAGCGGCATTTTGGGAGGCTGAGGCAGAAGAATCGTAAGCTTGAGCCTAGCCTGGAAAATAAAAGATTTAATGAGACCTTGGTCTCAAAAAATTAAAAAGGGGTGGAAACATAGCTCATGCAAAGACGCTGGGTTCAATTCCGAATACTGCAAAAAAAAAAAAAAGATATTTATACAGCCTGCCTCACAAGCGCAAGGTCCCGAGTTCGATTCCGAGTACCAAAAAAAAAAAAGATATTTAACAACTGCAAAATCATCTCTAATGAAGAATTTGACATAAAAAAAAATAAGGTGTTTGGAACTAGACATGAATTAAAAACCTGGGTCTGTGAGCAAGTTACTTGATCTTTCTAAATCTGAATTTGATATCTGTTTAATGGGAAGTAGAACCATACCTAATGACAATTAAGAGAAAAAATATATATAAGTATATATATAAATAAAATACATACTATTATTATTTATACTACTCTAAAGGACTAGCATGTGCTTATGATTTTTTTGAAAAAAATTAAGATAAGGAACTAACACAACTGAAGATATTTTCATTTATATTATTTCATTTAAACACTCACTAAAAACATTAGCATTTTTAGTATGTTGGTATCCTTGGCCAAATCTTCATAACTTTACTACTTCCTGATCACCAATAAAATGATAGGTATTTATTTACACTTTCTCTAATACTCAGCACGAATGATACTATTAACTTTTTTGCATATAAGAAATATAAAGACCAGGGAAGTTGAATAACTTTACCAAGGTTATAAGAGCTACTAAGTGTGTTATCTATTTACACCCAAAGCCTAGTTAGCTAGACTGTCTCTACCATTGTAAACAACTGTTTTATCAGTCAAGGTAAGTATTTAAGTACTGTATTATGTGTATCGAGCTCTAGGGAATATTGGTAAATAAAAAAAGATGAATCTTTTCCTCACACTAACAGTCTATGATGGAAAAGAAACATTTAATAATTATATAAATAGTTGTAATAAAATATACATTTACAATATCTATTAAAACAAATGATAGGGACAGCTAACTCATGTTAGCATTTACTACTTGGGTCAGATACTATTTTGTTGTATATATATATTCTTTTACTCCTGTGTCTGTGTGCATGTGTGTGTGGTACTGAAGACTGAATTCAGGACCTTCTGCATGCTATGGAAGCCCTCTACCACTAAGCTACATCCCCAGCCAGTCACCCCTGCCCTCCCCACCACCTTTCTGAGACAGGGTCTTGCTAAGTTATCCAGGCTGGCCTCAAACTTGCAGTCCTCCTGCCTTAGTCTCTGAAGAAGTTGGGATTCTCAGTCTCTGAAGAACCCTACAGGCATCTGGCACCATACCTACTTATAGTCACTTTTAATAAAATTAAATCTTTTAAAAAATGTTTTGTTTTTTTTTGGTACCGGGAATCAAAGTTGGGATCTTGTACTCAGTGGAACCACTGAGCTAAATCCCTGGCCCTAAAAAATGCATTTTTAATAAAATTTACTGAATAAATAAAATTTGTAAAATGTGCTCTTTAAAGAGTAAATATAGGGCCGGGGATTTAGCTCAGTGGTGACACACCTGCCTCGCAAGTGCAAGGTCCTGAGTTCAATCTCCAGTACTGGAGGAAAAAAAAACCCTAGGAGTGAATATAGGTAATACAGAGTAGTAGTAGTATCATCATTCCCATTTACAGATAAACAAAGTAAACGAACGATAATGCTTAAGTGAACTGTCCTTCAAGAGAAGACTCAGAGTAGGGAGATCAAGGAAATGACAAGCTAGAACTAAGGAAAAAAAAGCACAGGAGTTAAGGTGAGAGAAGAATAAGAGGGGTAGAAAGAAATTCCAGGCTTAGAGAACTATATACATCCAATCTCTGAATCAGAAGGTTATTTGTTAGAGGGGAAAAAAGGGACAAGAATACTTTAATTTCAGAACTAAAGTACAAAAACATGCATAAAAGTATATATAGAAGCAGACCAAACACATTTTTCTCCCACCAACTCGCTAGCTGTTCAGTTTCTTTTCCCTCTTCCATTTAGAAGTCACGGCTTTTCTGAAACCAAACAGCAAGAAATGCAGTGGATTATGATGCTCTAGGGGTCTGACAAGTGACAGTCAGCAACCCTCAGGCAGGCAGGGGTCTTCTGTGAGAACGAATTGTAGGAAAACGAGCTCGGCTTCTTTAGTATTTCTTACTTTCATTTTTAAAGGAAATGATGCCATACTTTATATCTAAGCCATAAAACCACACAATATCCTCTACTTATGCATAAGAAAAGTTATAAACATTAATTTAAAAATGAGCCTGGCTTTTTCCTAACTAGACTACAATTTTTATTAGCTCTTTTTACATTCACAAACAGAAACAAGTTGCAAGTTCATTACAAAGCACTTTTTTCCTGCACCAAATGAGAAAAGTTGCCTGATATTCCATCACCTATGAATATGTGTATTTCCTAAAAACAAGGATACTACATTTCCACGATACAACCAAAAACTTAGAAAACCACTGATGAATTATAACCATCTATGACCATCTAACCCTGGGGAACCAATGAAATCTGGCCATTTGTCCAAGTGGCATCATGTGGCGCATCTTCTGTTGCATTTGTGGATTTGGTGTTTCTCTTTTCATTCCCTCCTGTTGGAAAGTTTCTTGTTTTCTCTCTGACTTTAATGACCTTGATACTCTTGAAGACTTCAAGGCAGTCATTCTGCAGGCTGAATTATTTCATGTGTCTTATGATAGGATTTAGGTAACAAATTCTGAGTAGTATCACAGAAGTAACACTGTGCCCTTCCTGAATCCTAAAATGTAGCATCTGATGTTGATTCTTGATACTGGTGATAGCTTGATTTACGTGTTGTTTACCAAGCATCTTCACTGTAAAGAAACTTGTCTGTTTTTGTAATTAATATTTTGGTGGAGGATTAAAGGAGATTAGGAAACCACATATATGTGTGCATATAATATATTCACTAGATATACTTTGCATAGTGCGTATATGTATATGCGCACACACACAGTGGTACCTTGGTTCCCAAGTTAATTTGTTCTACAATTTTGGAAAAGATGGTCACATTTCTGTTTGTGTGGGAAAGATTGCCACAGTTGTGTTTGTCACCCAATGCAGAGTTTGCAAACAAAAACTAAATTTTGCCAAACAAAAACCAAATTGTTCGCAAACAAAAGGGTTCATGAACCAAGCTGCCACTGTATATGCTGTTTCTCATTAAACTTTCAATTTATACATTTAAGTACAGACTCATGCTTTTATTCAATGAGGTATATTTTACTACTATCGTTATTGTTTTTATGCTAAAGTCTTCCCCAATTTGGCTAGTTAATGCCCCTTGAAGTTGGGCTCTGTGTCCTTTCAACATGTTCCAGTAAAAGAAGTCCAAGTTTATCTTTACTTATTCCTATTCTGGCTCAGGTATAAGTCATTTTTCCAAGAAAAACAGGTTCCCTTCAGTGAAGAAGAAGATTTAGGAAAAAATGTTCTATTAGCTATGTTCCTTATACTGGGATCTCATTATTCCCAAGGCCTCTTGATAGAGCTAGAAAGTATATGTGTGTGTCTGCATACACATAAACACCTATATCTACATTTATTGGGTTTCTACTATGTATCTGTGTGTAGATATATATAAAAAACAACTCTAATCCAGCACCATTACATAGCTCTTGTAGTTTTCTTCCTTTCCTTATTTACAGCTCCCTTCTCTGATACTAAAATGCATGCTTCCCACTGTTTTTAACATATATGTAGATGGTCAACCTCCATGGATATAATCAGTCTTCCATTTCCCTGTCAATCCTCTCCTGCAAGCGCATTCTCCAAGGGCTAGAACACCCAAGATGAACACCCCACTTGGGTGCTGAAACCCTGTGCCAGGTCACTCTTAGTGCAGATACCTTCTTCAGCCTACCTGCGCTGATAACCTGCTCTGGCCCACTGTACCTCTACCATCTGTTCTCTGCCATACCTAATGGTTTTAGGACTAAACTGTTTAGAAGGAGGAGAAGGGTATGAGAAAGGTAGGCATAAAAAATGAAAAAAAAATTTTGTTTTTGGTACTGGGGATCGAACTCAGATCCTTGCACTTGCGCATCAGGCGGCGAAACCACTGAGCTAAATCCCTGGCCCAAGAATGAAAATTTTTAATCTAGATACATAATTGTATTTCATGTTCCAAATTCTGTATCACAAATGAAATTCAATTCAACAGTATGTATATAGTATTTTTCAGTTACAAAAATTTTCTTCCAAGTGGCACACGCTTGTAATCTCTGCACTTGGGAGGGTTTAAGGGAAAATTTGTTAATCTTACTGTACTGTATTCCTTTTTGTTTGAGAATTGAAACCACAACTACTACTGTAATGCTTCAGAATATATAAAACGTTGTTTAAAATTTGTACTCACTTTTCCAAAAAGTTACATGAATTTAATTTTGTTTTGTTTTGGTACTGGGGATCGAACTTGGGACCTTTGGCTTGCAAGGCAGGCGGTGGAAACACGGAGCTAAATTCTCAGCCCTATGAATTTAATTATAAGACTTTATCCTTGTGTATAATTAATGTTGGCTGAAATATGTGAATGATCATAGTACTTCACTGGGAACCCATAATACAGCACTGCATTTATCGCTGACAAAAAATATCTAGGATAATGTGATAAAATCACTTACATCTGCAGAGGACTGTAATACTGATTATGCCCAAAACAGGCTGTGAAGAGTTAACCCCACAACTGGCTTGTTTTGAGAAGTGAGTCTGGCTGAGTCCTACGTGCTGAGGTCAGAGTAACTCACACCCAAATTGTTCCCACAACTAAAACCTTCTGACTAGAGGGACCATGTTCTAATTACAACCATATATTTTAATCTATTCTGTTCCTAATTCAAAAATTATTTGGGGAGCTGGAGATGTAGCTCAGCGGCACTGCTCCTGCCTGGCAAATGCAAAGTCCTGAGTTTGGTTTCCGGTATCAGAAAAAAAAAACTTTGTCTTGTCCTTTATGAGCCTTGTTTACATTAATTTCCATAAAAACCACACGTAATAAAACACACACACACACACAGCTTGTCTTTACCCTAACTGATTGCCAATAAAAATCGGTGCCTGGGACTGGCCAGCACCTTTGTCAGTTGTACCAGCACTGGTCATCCTGACACCCCACTTTCTGTCTTTTAGGGTTTTTCCCTCAGGCCTGTGTCATATACTAAACAAAATACTAAAACCCAACTACAGGAGCCTTCAATATAGATCCATTTGGCTACATAAGTGTTCAAAGAAACTGCACCTGTATTATATAGCAGGCCCGAGTGTGTAAAACAGCAGTAGCATTACCTATGTTTTCACGGCCAATCAAGTGAATGTACATATACTACTGCAAAGCTGCTCACGACACACTTCAAAATGTGACACTGAAAATTAGCACAGAGTTCTTACCTCCACTTTAAGGAGAAAATATAATGCTCTAAGGGCCAGACACTTAACTTCCCTTGTACCTTCAGACAAACAATTTCATTTCACTTTTCAGAAATTCAAAATGAGAAGTTTAGACCACATTCTGGTCATATCTTACAATCACATAAGGAGATAAATGTCAAACCAAAATAATGCCTGACTAGACAAAGCAAGTATTTCTTTTTTTAATCTGGAAATCAGGACTATACATTTATTTTTTATCTTTTATTTTTTTTGGTTCCGGGGATCAAACTCAGGTCATTGCACTTGCACAGCAGGCAGCAAAACCACTGAGCTAAATCCCTGGCCCTAGGACTACACATTTTCAACAACATGCTTTATGTTTTATACTCACAAACGTATCACAATTGAAATTCTACTCATTCTTTCTTGAATTATTAAAATGCCCAGCATTTATTTTTTAAGAACTCAACAATGATGCTTACCGATACTGATGTATCCTCATTTTTTCTCTTAACACTGGAGTCAAACAAGACATTTCTCCCTCGCCTTTCACAGTCTTGATACACAATCAGTCGAATCTGGCTTGGATCAAACTCTGACAAAGGCCAACTTAAAAGAAAAAGATCCATCAGAGTTAACTTTACTAAACATTCCACATATATTCTTATAAATAAAACTTATGTAATACAGCCAGAAGTTATAGTATTAGTGAAGAACAGATAGCAAGACTTTTTAAATAAACTATCACTATTAAAAGCTGGGCTTGGTGGCACAGGCCTGTAACCCCAGCACTTGGGAGGTTGAGGGAGGAGTACTGCCTAGAGTTTGAGCCCACCTGGACTATACAGTGAGTACAAGGCCAGCCTGAACTACACAGGGGGATCCTGTCTCCCCACCCCCAAAATCACCAGGGATGAAAAGTTACACAGCTATGACATTTCAGATTAAAGACAAAATAAAAACACAAACAAAAGCATATTTTAAAAAAATGACAACTATCATGTAGTGTATTTAAAATACACTCACCTCTAATATGCCCAAGTAATATAATGAAAATATAAATTGATTTCATAGCATGAACCTAGATGATAATTACACTAATTCATTTAAAAATATTTCAATATGGAAATGTGAAAAGAAGACTTTTTCAGTTTAAATGACAGCAAAAAACTTACACGACACTAACAAGTTTTAAAAATGTGATAAACAGCCGGGGATGCAGCTCAGCGGCACCGCGCCTGCTGCGCAAGGTCCTGAGTTCGATCTCCGATACCACAAAAAAAAAAAAAAAAAAAAAGTGACAACCAAGTATGGTGGAAAGTCACAATTGGTGCTGTTCTGAATTAAACATTAGTAAAATTACCTTAGAAAAATATATATATATATATCTTTTTAAAGACAAAATCAACTAAAAATTAAGTTGACTCCAGCAGTTCTACTCCCCAAAGTTTACCATAATAGAAAATGTTCATAGTAGCCCCATCCTTAATAGCTAAAAACTGAAAACAATTCAAGTGTCCACCAACACCGGAATAGATAACTATATTACAATATATACAGATTACTAAATACTATACCACAAACAATAAATGAACTTCAACTATAGGCAAAAACACGGATAGACCAGGGACAAAATAAAGCAAAGATATACACACAAATAGCTACTGTATCTTCCTGTTTATATAAAGGTTAAAAACAGATAAGGTTTTATCGAGGAATATATAGCTAGTTTTTAAAAATAAAAAACAAGGGGGCTGGGGACTTAGCTCAGTGGTTCCGCTGCCTGCCTCGCAAACACAAGGACCCAAGCTTGATCCCTGGTACCAAATAAATAAATAAAATAAAATAAAACAAAGAGAATGATGGACTTAAAAGTTTGGAGAGTGCGCCCTTCTAACAGTGTGGGGTGGGGACACAGAGGGAGTGTGTCCAGGAAGGCACGCACCAGACAGACTGAAACAATCACTGTATTCTATGATTTAACTAGATAGTGCTTAGACAGATCTTCACTGTACAGTATACATTTTTAAACATCATATTTATTTTATATACGCATTGCATTTCATAATTTTAAAAATTACTGTAGCAGGTGAGGTAGGGACAGCAAACGATTGCCGACAGGGCAGTTGTTAAACAGTAAGAGGTTTGACATGCCAGGAGCTATTAATGTGAAACTAGCTACCTTCAGTCCAACATAAAATATAAAATATCTTCATTCCAGGGCCGGGGATTTAGCTCAGTGGTTTCTCTGCCTGCTGCGCAAGCGCAAGGACCCAAGTTCAATCCCCGGTACCAAAAAAAAATATCTTCATTCCAAATTCTTGTCAAAACACAATTTTAGTCTTCTCTCTAATCCTCAGCAATCATGTGTGTTAGAAAATGATTAAATTAAACATTCAAGCTAAACCAGAAATTCATCCTCAGACTACACTGATTTGCATCTCTCTGAACTGCTTTTGCAGGACTATCATGTTATGCAAAAGAAATTATAAAAGAAAAGACCAAAATAGGATGAAAATCAGGAATGTGGTCTCGTGGGATCAGTAAAGAAGAACATTTTAGGGAAAAAGAAGAAACACCATGGCATACTCTTCAGTGAAATAAATAGGACATACGTGTAAATACCGAATAGTTTCTCTGGTGTGAGAATCTAAAAGTGTAAATAAGGATCAAAATGTATAATAGATAATGTGAAATAGGAAGAAAAGGTCTAAAGGAATAGGGGAAGTGGGAGGGGTAGGGGAAAAGAAAGAAGGGAAAAGAAAAAATATGAGAAAAAGGAAAACATGGAAACAAAGTCTTTGTAAATAGGGAAGGGTGGGGGGGTGAAGGGAGGCCAGGGAATGGGGAAAAAATAAGAACCAAGATATATCATGTAAAGGTACAAGATCCCAATGATGAATATAACTGTATTGTATACCTAAAATGTAGCAATAAATTTAATGAAAAAAACCACAAAACATTGAAGGGGCCGGGGATTTAGCTCAGTGGTTCTGCCGCCTGCCCTGCAAGTGCAAGGACCTGAGTTCGATCCCCAGTACCAAAAAAAAAAAA